ATACGTGTAAAATATAACGTTATCTCTCATGTCACGTAACGTTACATGACTGCCTCGGAAGCCGCGGTCACAGGATGCAAGTCTGTTACATTTAATCATTTTTCTTCGACCAAGGAAGGACAGCGACCTTGTAACCAAGGTGCCTGGCCTCGCAAGGCAAGGTGCCTTGACATTGAGAAACACTCATCATGTATATAGACGCCCTCTTGATCGGCACTGCCTATTGGAGCTGTCGAAGTGGCCGGCTGTCATCTTGGACGAGTCTCCATTTACCCCCAGTGTATTTATTTCTCTGCTTTTTCCACAAACTCTGACATATGGTTTGGCATTATAATTAAAATATAAATAAAATAAAATAAATTTAAATATAAAATCCCAACAGGTAGGCTAGAAAAGTCAATAGTAATCCCAAGTGATCTGTTTTCAATACTACACCGGTTGTTGCAACCGTAGGCTGCACAAAAAACAGGCATAGTTGCTCACTCTGCATTGGGTCCAGTTGGGTTTGGAAAGTGATGAACCCACCCAATATGGCGGCAACACTGTTACGCTCTCCAGCACCCAATAGCGCACATAAGTAATTATGTCTATGTTTGCGATTGGAAGCCTAACCCCCATTTCAAATATTCCGTTCTCCGCCGCTTGATGCTTCCGGTGTGAAACCTGGATAAGTCTCCTCTCCTTCAGATTGACGAATGGGTCCCCGGAATAAAGAATATGTGAATGTAAATAACGGGGCTATAAAATCTGATCCACTTTGCCTTACACCATGAATTACACATATTTTGTAAACCACATCCTAGTCACTCTCTTAATCAGTCAGTTTTCCATTTACTTAGCATAAACAGTGTAAGTGAATGGTAACAATAAGCATTTGTGTAAAAAAGTCATGGAAAAATATTCAATGATAATCTCAGCTAAGGATGTAAGAAAATGTCAATATGGCAATATTTCGCAATATTTTTCCCTTCGATATCGATATTCAAAAGACGTATCAAATTTTGGGAAGAATTTACATACAAACATTTGTATAGTTTCTTTTCTTTTGGAGCGATTCAAACTCCGACCACTAGTTGGCAGCAGTGTGCAATGGGTTTTGTTTCCACCACTGAAATGTAAATCCTTTTATTATGGTTCAGATACCTCATGTTAAAGGTGTTATGCATCCGTTTGGACTGATTATTGAATATTCTTACAATAATTTCAGAAAAAAATAAACAATAACGTCTGGCTGAATGTATCCCAATATAGCGTATCGTCAGAATTTACACAATACACATCTCTAATCCAAAGTTTCCTTGGTGACCTAAATAATTATGTTGACAGCAAATGAAAATAAGTAAAAGCAAGGAATTACACGAGCCGATTTAGACTTAGGACTACATTACAACAAAGCACTTCCACAATGGGCAAGGATATGATGCAGCTGCCCCAAGAGACAGCTGCCTAAGTCTGTCCTTTACTCTGCAAGTTTTAGATCCAACTTTCTATGCTGTTCCTTTGGGGGGGGACTGTGCCGGATATAAGCCGAGTAGGTGTCTTTTTGAATTTATGACTGAAATGCTAGCTGTTACCATTCACTTACATTGTTTATGTTAAGCTAAAGCAAACGGAATACTGCCAGATTAGGAGAATGAAGCCTGATTTTTACTTCTCCGTCTGCGTTGGTGCAAAGACAGGTAACACCATTATGCGTTGGCACAAGGGCTCTCCGACAGGCTCACAGAGGCTGACGGAGACATGCCCCAAATTTTAAACATCCGTTAAAATTATGGAGACCGCAAGCTTGTGATTGGTCAGGATGCCACTTCCTGTAAATTTGTCACCAGCACCACCATTGCCCCGTTAAAAAGTAAAAAGATACTCAGCGGCAGAGCCGGAACAGACTGAAGGATGCATCGCAGAAAAAGTCCAAAAATATAAATGTTCAGCCGTGACTGAATGAGTACAAAATACGGAGCAAACGTGGACGAAAACGACGGGAAACGTGGGTTTAGAGGTGGCGACCACAGGAAGAGGTGAAGGAGAATGGAGGGCAAATTTGTCCGTGTTATAAAGTCTTTGAAATACATAAACACATTAGTAAATACACTATGTGGACCAGAAACATGATTGTTATGATGGCAGGATAGTTCAGAACAGCACTACGCCCTCTGTTGTCCTGATGGGGAATTGCTTTGCAACACTCCGCTGCCTCCACAGAAGTTCGCATGAGAAAACCTTTCCAACACTCTGTGTGTCTCTTCGTTGCAAAGTCAAAGTCAAAGTCAGTTTAATTGTCACTTCTGCCACATGTACAGGACATACAGAGAAATGAAATTACGTTACTCTCAAACTCTCGCTAGATAGAAAATAAACATTTAGTATAAAAGCTCACAGAGAAGTATAAATCAGGCTTGACTGGGCTGATAACAAAATGCCTTTCCTTTTCCCACTTTTTTTTTAACTCTGGGAATAATGGATTCATTAACCTATAGGTGGAATACCCCTGTAAGAATGCTCAACAGGAAAAAGATATAAGGCCGTGTTATGCACGAGCAATGAGGTTAGCGTTTTCATTTCACACATTCTGCAGAACACGAGGTGGAGCGCGGTGTTCTGCTTTACGCTCTAAAACCGAGGCTATAAAAAGACGTGTTATACAGGAAGAGTCACCAGTATGCATCGTTTTAAAATGATGGGGGGAAAAAGTAGCTGCAAAACGTTTTTGAATGACCCTTGATAAGGTTACAAACCAACTCCTTAAACCATGTAAGTTGCAGAGCGAAGGGGCAAAAACCCCTTCTTTATGGAACTCTTCTATAGAAGACAAAAACAGCGCCTGTCAGACTCATCCTCTGTTAACACATTGTAATATTCAGCTGGAGCCACATTTTTCTGACAGCCGATTCTTTTAAACAATGGCAACAGTTAATTGACAAAGAAAAAATATGAAAAGGCTGCTGTCTGAGCCATCAGAATTCACACTCTTTTCTCCCTTTGAAACATTTCCTCGGAAGATTTATTTGAAGGCAGCAAATGTGAGTTTGTTTGCCAGCTTCCTGACGATTACTACAGAGTCTTCCTTTGCAAGTTTTAGCTGCTTAACAGTGACAGCCACCTTTTTCCTCCTGCTTGGAATCCTAGTTGCATCTTTATAAGCTCTTTTTCTGCTCCGCGGTTGGTTATGTCATGACAACTGAGGACTTCAGACTCTGACGGCGGCTTATGTCTGTCTGCAATACGTGGCGATTTAACGCCGCAGCACGACGCTGGCTGTTACAGGCCATCTTATCGCTCGTCAGAGAGCACAAAAAGATCCAGTGAGGCAGCAGGAGAGAGCAGATTAGAAATAGTAATCACGTGGTCATCACTGGCCTAGATGGTGTCAACGATGTAGGGAGAAAACATAAAAGTCAACACTGGCGGCATATCAAATTTTTTAAATGAATTATTCTTGCTTAAAAGCATGATTGTTCCCCTTTACTTCACGGTACAGCTTGAAAGGATTGTGTGACCAATCAAACAAGAGGACAGTGCCCCAAAACTGTGCCAGGGTACCCAGGAATATCCCCCATGTTGGAATTTCCTCATAGCATGCAGAGGATCCAGACACAGATAGACTCTCCTCTTGTGCTGGCAGATTGCTGTGATCCCACAAGCATTCAATAGACTCAAGGCAGGCCAAACCATCCTCTAAAATACTGGAGGCGATGATCCTGACTGTGTGGGGGAGCGTTAGCATCCTGGAGGAAAGAGATCGATCCAGGTTCCTGGAGATGATTGCCACAGGCTTCACAACATCATTCCAAGATTACCGTGACAAGTTCTAATTTGAGAACATGAGAAGTGCTGTGTGAACGTCATGTTGCCCAAGCTGGACCACCTCACGCTGGTCAGGCACATCCTTAAACACTGTAAGGTACAGGAAGTCATTCTGGATGTGAGTGACCTCCATGAGAGGAAGCAGGATGCCACACACACACACACAGAAAGAGAATCATCTGTTCTCCAGTGCAGAAGGTTTTGGACAGAATCTGTCTTTTACAACTCCGGAAAAGAATAAATGAGGTAACAGAAGCAGTCCAGAGCCACAGCTGCTTCTTTCTGTGCCTCCAACAACTACTGAGCAAAAACCAGCCTCACATTGGGAATGTGAAGATGTTAGTGAGAGGATTTCATAAAGAGCAGCAGAACACACCCCACAGGAGGCTTCAGAGAAAGCCAGCTTTAGCTTTAGGATGCTTTGAACAACTACAACACACAAATTATATATATATATATATATATATATATATATATATATATATATATATATATATATATATATAGCTGCAGTCAGTATAAGTGTTCCTGCTTACTGAAGCTGAGGATTAACTGGGAACTGTCTTGTTTCTGTAGAAAGAGCGCAGCTATGCGGGGCGCTCCTCATGTCTTATTCTGCTGGTTCATAACAAGACCTGGGCGTGCAAAGCGCCTCAGGAAGACCGAATCTTTCTAATAATAACAATTATTCACTCCGTTCCGATCTAATTTGAATAAATCAGACGTATTTACATAAGCAACCAATGTTTTTTCTAATAATTTACTGATCTGATCTTATTTTTTTAAATGCCACATTGTCTTGGTCTGGCGTCCCTCTCGTTCCAGCACAAACAGACGAAGCGGGCTACAACAAAAGGCGTCCACACACAAACACAAATAAGTCAGAGAAATTAATTAAGGGCATATTAGGAACAGGCTCGCGAGCAGACACGCTCATTTTTAAGAGCGTTTAAAAAACAACCACCTTCAACGTTTAAAACCCAACCACCTTCAACTGGATTCTCCTACCTGGAATTTCTGCCAGCCTCTCACACTTGTAATAAATACTAAAAATGTTTATGACATCCCAGCTCGGTCCGACAGAACGAGCCGGTTGGGTCGAACACAGCGAGAGCCGAGACAGCAGGACAGACCCACGGACACCGGAACAGCGCGCGAGCCGTTCCTATAAATGACAATGAAGAGAAAACACTCACCTTTGAGTCTCATTGACCACCGAATCACGACGGCTTGTTTATTTCATTGTCCCCCCCTCTGAACAGCTGTGTGTACTGGTGCGTTACAGACTTCCGCATGGAGGTGGTAAAAAACAACAGAATAGGGGGAGAGAGAGAGAGAGAGAGAGAGAGAGAGAGAGAGAGAGAGAGAGAGAGAGAGAGAGAGAGAGAGAGAGAGAGAGAGAGAGAGAGAGAGAGAGAGAGAGAGAGAGAGAAGCCGCAAGGCAATGAAGGATTCGAATGATAGGCAGCGCACACGCGCACACCATCGGGCGCACACCGGTGAAGAGACGGCTGGGTGATGATGATGATGATGATGAACCCTGAAACTAATCAGTTTTAAATGAGTGGGGATGTATGGAATCCTTTTGGGGCCAAACATGAAAACATTAAATTGCGTTGACCTCAGCTGGAGAAATTGAGATTTATCTTGTCTGGTCAAATCTTCCAAATAAGGTGCAATCTCTTTTTATTTTTAAAGTTTCAACAAAGATGGCAGACATTCTCAGAAAAGAATAAAACACAAAAGGCAATAAATTGAATTAAGATCTGTAAAGATAACCCCGGCTTTCCACAGCAGCCATCAGCAGCACGTTACTGCAGCAGCACGTCATAGCTGCTGATAGGAACGGCTGTGGTCTATGGCAAGCCAAAACCGTCACAATACGCCACTTTCCCAACCCGTCTAGTTAAGAAATGGCGAAAAAAAACGCCGTTTGATGTGCCAAGACGTCGTAAAATACGGCGAAAACTCTGCCAGAACGCCGTAATTTACGCCGTTCTGAACGGTCCCGTAGAACGCCCGTAAAATACGCCGTTTTTTCCGGACATTGAACGCCGTTTTTTACGTCACCCTAATCCCAGACGCGTTCTCTGTGTGGGTGGCGTAAAATACGGCGTTTGGTACGGACATTGAACGCCGCTTTTTTCGCCGTTCTGTGACATAAAACGCCGCTTTTAACGCCACTTTGTGACAGTTTTAACGCGTTTAAAATTCAACTTTACTCTCATTTATGCAGAGCCCTCCCCATGGGTTTCTCATCCACTTAATTTAAACTCCAGTGACCCAATGAAAGACGAGGAGGTTGAGGCAGCACTAATTCATCCCAGATTCGCCGGGCTGTCGGGCTGTGCGGATTGCTGTTTTCTAATACAACTCGGCTCTGTTTCAACTAATTTCACTGTATTGAAAAAGCCTTGAAATGTAGTAATATGATCAACAATGTGTCAACATTATTATTTTTTCTGTCCACCTGTAAAAGGCAGAAACGCTGTTTCAGTCAGACCTGATGATTACTTAAAAGTGTGGCTGCCGTATTAGTCTGTCCTCGTGGCTCGTGAGTCCAGCTGAAACATCAGTGCTCTTTCTGTCCAAAACTCCATTCTTCTTAAGTTAATCCACTTTCAGTATTTACTATTGGGACAGTGTGTGTGTGTGTGTGTGTGTGCTGTCGCAACGTCCCGATTGATCATGCGCCCTGGCTACTTGGCCAAGGAGATGTTCCTTTGGCTGACTGGTTAGAGCGTATGACTCTCACCCGGGAGTCTGGGGATCGAATCCCGCCCGAGCCCTCGTTTATCCACCTGGCCACACTATTGTTTTTTTTTTTTTTCGTTTTTTTTTTAAACGACTGTTATACTTGTCTTACAGGAGCTTCTGAAGATGTTCTGTCTTGCTTCTCCATCATCACTCTCCAGCTCCTCAGACCAGCCACTCCAGAACCTTCCCAGATCCAGGATCAGAGCACTTTAATTAAAGTTTGAAACATGTCTGCTTGTTGTTCTCCTATAGAAGCCTTAAACTAGAATTTGCTAATGAGCTTTCTTGGCTAAAATATGCTCTTAAATGTTTTTATTTACATAATCAAGAAACACGTTTTTCATTGCTGCTTCACCAAGACATGAATGATGAATTAGTGCTGCCTCAACCTCCTCGTCTTTCATTGGGTCACTGGAGTTTAAATTAAGTGGATGAGAAACCCATGGGGAGGGCTCTGCATAAATGAGAGTAAAGTTGAATTTTAAACGCGTTAAAACTGTCACAAAGTGGCGTTAAAAGCGGCGTTTTATGTCACAGAACGGCGAAAAAAGCGGCGTTCAATGTCCGTACCAAACGCCGTATTTTACGCCACCCACACAGAGAACGCGTCTGGGATTAGGGTGACGTAAAAAACGGCGTTCAATGTCCAGAAAAAACGGCGTATTTTACGGGCGTTCTACGGGACCGTTCAGAACGGCGTAAATTACGGCGTTCTGGCAGAGTTTTCGCCGTATTTTACGACGTCTTGGCACATCAAACGGCGTTTTTTTCGCCATTTCTTAACTAGACGGGTTGGGAAAGTGGCGTATTGTGACGGTTTTGGCTTGCCATAGATCTCCTTTGTTTTTCAGGTCCGTATTGGCGATTATAAAACGGACAGAACATAAAAACACAAACATTTTGGAGCCATGTTGTAGTTTTCTCCTGCTTGTTGTTGTGTTTACTGACGAAGTCACTCGTGTGACTTCGTGCTTTGTCGGTGACAGCTGCTCCCCTGCTGATTCGCGTCTTGTGGGAAGGGCCAAGCAGCAGCTTACGCGAGCAAGACGTGCTGCTGCAGTAACATGCTGCTGACGGCTCCCGTGGAAACCCGGGGTTAGACTCAACTGTATTCAAAAGTTTCACAATGGTTTCAGACCTACCAATGTTGTCACCCAATCTAGGCATCAAAATGTAATATTGGGAATTATCGTATCGTCTTTTACTAGTTTTGTGACACATTCACCATGTACACATTATATACGTATCATCTTATTCAACTTTACCTCCCTCAAAATGTAACAGATCTGTTAGTTTGAGATATTTTGTTTGGTGCAACAAGCCTAACTTACACCAGATATAGTCGCCATTTTATACACAGACAGTGTTTAAATTTGAAGTATGCATGATAAGAGATATGTGATGTTAGCTATCAGAAATATTTTAGTTCTCCTTTTAATAAAGAAAGGATCCCACATATATTGGTATCGATTCATATTGTTGTTGGGTATTTAAAGTTAGACTATATCAGTATATCAGATATCGGGAAAAAATGCTGAATCATTGAACATCCCAACAAAAAATGACTATAGGATTCACTAAATGTTGGTTTCATCCACATGTGTTTACAGCAGTTGATGTAAAAGTTGCAGAGCACAATGATAAGATTCACCAGAAAGTCATATCTGTCCAGGAGGAGTGCATACATCAAAAATCTTCTACAAGCATGCACTACAATTTTATTTTTCTGTCATCCAAAACTCACCAAATGGACAAACCCCAATGAATTTATACATTGTTTTAGACAGTGGGCTTAAAAATACAATACGAATTAGGTTTTGATCATAAAATGCATCCTGTGCAAGGTTTTTCACAATCCTTGTGATACACAAATATAACATAACATACATACTAAGGCTGATTTAGCTTTAGACTTGGTGACCAGATCATTAATGACTTGCAGTGTATTTTCAGCCTCTCCTAGCTCAAGTGAATCACCACGTGTCCTGTAACTCCACACCAAGAGGGTCCTGTCCACTCAGTGTATTATGTCAGGAAAGGCTCCCTTACCCTCTGATGACTCAAAGCCCCAGCTCCGTCTCTGTGAAACCTGCCATTGTGTTTGGGCTTATTACTGATGCTCAGCCCACCACACTGTCCTTGGTGGTTGGACAACGGAGGCTCTGTGTCCTGTCGGGGCAAAGTGGGCTCCTCCAAAGGAAGTCTACTAAAATGTCACACATGTGTCTCTGCGTTGGATAGAACGGGAGACTGTGGCTTATGCGCTGAACATGAGAGAGGCGGGCAAGTGACCAGCAGCTGTTCCCTTGGTACTAAAACAGCCTTTTGCCACATTAGCAAACTCCACGCACAGAAATTCTGATTAATTTTTACTTGCTGAAAGAAAGCAGCCATAGATGCATGTGCTTGATTAAAATCTCCTGAGAAGTACTAAACCTGTGGAGGAGTGTTAGTGTTGTAGTCGAGACCACACTACCCGAGACCAAGACATTATCGAGATCAGAGAGAACCGAGAAAGAAAGAAGGCCAAGACATTTGAGGTTAAAACAAAGACAGAACCGTAGAAAAAGGCCCTTGATACCAAGAAGAGACCAAGAACATTAAAATATGGTCTTGAGACTAAGACCAATCTTGAAGAATACAACGCTGGAGTGTGTGTGTTCAACCAGGACTGGATGGTGTAAGAACAGTATGACTCAACAGGTCTCATTAAGAAAAAGGAGAAAAGAAAAAGTGAATAGGTGAAAGACGAGTGTGCTGACAGGAAGAAAATGGAGAATTTCCTCCCAGGAGGTTGGTGATTCAGTCAGGAGGTGGTGAGATGGTAGAACAGAAACATTCTGTGATTTTCCTTGTGTGTGTTTTGTCCCTTTTACTTGGGGCGTTATCCTTGTTGAACAGGTTTTGCGCAGGCCTTGTTTGTTTTCTTTCAACCCTGTACACACAGTTACGATAAGAACTCAGCTGTGAAGTAGAGTACAAATATCTTTTTTCCCTCCTAGACTCGTTCACTGGTCGCTCAGAGTCGCATGAATGCTGAATGTTAAATGTAGAAGAATGTTAAAGCATTAACAGTCTCACACACACACACACACCCAGTAACATCAGTAAAATATATATTTGGCTGAGTTCAGATGAGCCAAGTAAGGTAATGCAAGGAAACACCATCAGAGGAGCCGTCTGCCCCGGCAGCATCAGGTCAGGTCAGGGCGCCCAGAGGAGGGAGAGCATAGACCCCTACCTCCACTCAAGTACCACCTGTAGGGTGCCCAGGCAGCACCGGTCGACCACCCGCCCCGGGGCAGAGGACTCTCACTGAGAAAACACAGGATTAAAACGAGTAAAAATATAAAAATAAAAGAGCTAATATAAATGATAAAAGGAAGAAAATTAATAATAAATAAAAATCATACAGGGAGTAAAATAATAATAATATAATTAAATAATGAAACATTGCTAAAATATAATCATGTAAAACAAGAAATAAAACTATAATATATAATTAGTTAAAAGCTAACCTAAATAGGTAGGTCTTGAGCCTGGACTTAAAAATATGAACATTCTCTGCGGCCCTGAGATTCTCCAGCAGCTCATTCCAAGGGCCCTAATACTGGAAGGACGCCTCGCTGTGAGTATGTGTCCTGACTTTAGGAATAACCAGGAGACGCCTGCCAGAGGAGTGCAGAGGCCGTGATGGTTCATATAGTAGAAGTAATTCTGAGAGATG